AGATCCCCTCCCCGTGCAGCGCCCGGGTCTGCAGGTCCCGAACACTCAGAGAGTGAGTGTCTTCCTCCCCACTGCAGAGGACACAGCAGAACAGGAATTTCAGGGACAGCAATTGCAAATAAAGCCCTTCCTTCCGCTGTGAAGGTCCGAGCCTGCATTCTGCCCCTGTGGACGGCAGGCCGGTCCCTGGGCTCCCCAGAGGGTGGGTGTAGGTGCGTCTCCCATTTTCCCTGGACTCTGGGGCAGCCTGGCCATCGTGCCCGCACCTGCCAGTGTGCTTGGGATGCTGGAAGAATGGGTTGGAGGGTGGGTGACGCCAACTGCAGCGCAGAGAGTGTTGCCCTTAGGCTTTGCCGCTGCATGGTTCTGGGCCAAGGTCTGGAGGTCCAGGGCTGCCTCCCGAGGACCAAGGTTCCTTTCCTTCCTTTCCTTGAGGCCGGCCCTTGGCCTCAGTGTGGGGGCCTGGAGCACAGACTTTCACAGGCTCTGGGCACCATGCCGGTTGCCACTTCTGGCCAGGCCTGGGGTCCTTCCCCTCCCAGGGTCCCTGCCTCAGGGCCGCTGATGAAGTCACCCAGACTCACAGCTCTGGACCCTCACTCCTCTCCCCTCCTCTCTCCTCTCCTCTCCTCTCCTCTCCTCTCCTCTCCTCTCCGTGTCCCATTCATGGGGACTTTAAGCCCTGTAAGCAGCTTCCTCCAAGCCGGCCTGGTGGTGACTCTCAGGGCTCTGGCACCTGGCCTTCACAAGCCCCTTCCTCCATGGAAAGAAAATGTTTGAAACCTGTCTTCTGCCTGTTTTGGTACAAAGATAAACACTCGGTGTTCTTCCAGGAACTCCTCCTCTTCTGTCCAAAAGTCCTCTTTTTTCCTTTTGGAAACAAATCCAGAGACTTCTGAGGGCCCCTGGAAGTGGGTCCCCCACCCTGTGCTGGCTGTACCCACCTCCAGGCCCAGCCTCGCTGGGCAGATGGCCCCCTGCTTTCAGAGTCCTCCTCGGGGAGAAGGGTCCTCCGCCGTCCACAGGGTATAAAAGGCCCCCGCAGCCCCAGCAGGGTGACCTTTGAGGCCTTTCAGCTGCACAGCCATAATTAGAGTGCAGGAAGACTCAGTGGGGTGCCCTGGAAGCCTGCGAAGTCAGCCCGCTGAGCTGAGCAGGCCGGTACTGTGGGGCTTTTACTTAAAGGCCTCTGCTGAGCCGACGCCCTGGGGTGAGCATCCTTCGCCCAGGGAACTTCCTGGTTGAGGGTGCAGTGGGGACCCCTGGGGGCTGGGCTTCCTCCTCCGTGGGAGCCTCATCCCCAGACAGGACCCAGGCCCCCGTCAGGACGCGGCAGCCTGCTCCTCCTGGCCCAGGGAGGCACCACAGCCGGGCTGTCTCCCGTCCCAGTGCTTCACCCCAGAAGTGGCCGGAAACCCAGGGAGGGTGGTCTGTACTGGCGCAGCCCCAGCCCAAGTGACCTGCACCCACTTGTGTCCCCAGCCCAGCAAAACGATCTCCCTGGCTTGGCCTCTGTTTGTTCCACCATGCACAGCCTGTCCCCCAGCTTGCCTGCATCCTCGCGAAGGGAAGGAGAGACAGTGGCTGGGGACACGGATGTTTCTAGCAGGGGGCCAGGGTGCTGCCCGCTGCTCCTCCCTTGGCAGGGCAGCTGCCATGCCAAGGCACCCGCTGCCCTGTCCTCTTGTCCTTCCTCCTCACAGCCTCCTTGCTCTCTGCCAGAGTCCCACGCACAAGGACGAGGGAAACTTCACAGGGCATGATTCATCGGTGGCCGCCCCTCCGAGCCAAGGCGCGGATTACATTCATCAGTGTCAGACCACTAAAACCGAGATATGAATATGAATTCTCCATATTGCAGGCGAGATAAATGTGTGGGCGAATATAATTGATCGGAGGAGGGAGGGCAGGATGTGAGAGCGAGATCTCAGCCACTCTGCAGCTCAGCCTTGGGGAGGGCTCCGGGCTGGAGGTTCAGGGCCGGGAGTACCGGCCTGGGTCTCTCTGTCACCTCGTAGCATGGACTGCTGCACAAGGACTGCTGGGACCAGATCTGCTTTCTGCCCTCCCACCATAAATGCACCTGCAAAGGAGGCGACACGCAGGGTCCTTTCCAGGGGGAGCCTCAGCCTCCCTCCACCTGCACCGTCCTGGGTGGGGGTGGGGTGCTTTGCACAGACCGAAGCCTGGGAGGCTTTGGAGGCAGCAGCGAGGGGGAGTCTGTGCTTCCTCCATGCCCGGGAAGGGTTTTCAGGAGATGAAACCCTTAGACCCGTGGGGTGATTGCCCCCCGCCACAAGTCTCAGTAGATCAGTGGCTGAGAGAAATGTAAGAAATGGCTCACAAAAGACAAAATGCATTTTAGGGCTTGATCAAAAATTAATTTCTAGCCTTTTGATGGAGAAAAATAATTCTGAAGCTGTAAGTCTGACTTCTGTGTACAGGAAGCTCAGTTCTGAGGAGGCCCCACGTGGCCTTCTGGATGCGGAAGCCGCCAGGTCTTGTGGGCTGGGCCAGACACCCTGCAGCCGCCCTGGAGGCCTTTAAGTGTCCTGCACAGAAAAACAAAACCGGGAGGAGTGGAAGTCGGGCAAGCACATCTACACAGCCCGCCGCCCGGTTCAGGGAAAATGTCGGAGGAGGCCGGCCAGTTACAGATAGGGTCCCCGAGAGTCCACTTGCTGCTTGCAGTGGTCACCCAGGAGGGCTGCCCCGCACATCCTGGATGCCTGACCAGCCGAGGGGGTGCCGTTCCTCCTCAGAGGGTCTGGCCAAGGACCCAGGAGCTCTTTGGCCTCGGCTGTCAGGGTGAGGTTGAGCCCCAAGACGGAACCTGTGGCCAAGGCTATGAAGGTCCAGGAGCCCAGTACTTTAGGGACAGACAGTGGATCTCTCTGACGGCAAGAAGCACCCAAGGAAAACAGCACACACAGCAGGGAGCCCGGGGCACTCTCCCCTAAACCCACAGTTTATCCAACAGGCCAGGCAGCCCCCCAAAACCACACACACACACAAGAGGTGACCCCGGGCCACCGAGCAAGTCCCTCAGCACAAATCCTGGCTGACAGCTGCGGAGTCAGCCCAGGACCCCCAGATTTGCGCCACGCCCCAGAAGCGACGGCCGCGCGGTCAAGGCCCCATTCCTCGTTCCGACCATAGAGGGCGCTTCGACCACGTCCATTCCGACCGCGAAGCTGCTGGTCCGCGGAGACAGCCGAGCCCGGTCCGTCCAGGCGACCCGCGGCCCGGCTGCTCCCGCCTCCGTCCCACCCGCCGACCCGGCTCCCCGCGAGCTCCCATGGGTGGCGTCCCCTTGCGCCCCGCAGCGCGCTGCCTTCCGTAGCCCAGGGGACCAGAGGGAGGGGACCCTTCCTCCGCAGGACCCGCGAGTCAAGAGGGCTGGGGACCGTGCTCAGGGCTAGCTGAGCACCGCCAAGGAACCGCGGGCAGCGCGCCCCGACCCTGGAACCCGAGCGCCCAGCACAGGCTCTGGATGGGGCGTCGTGGGAAGGCTGGGTCCCCACGACCCGGGTTCCCGCGGCCCACATTCTCCTCGGCAATTTTGACAAGGCTGCGTACTCGGTTCTGCGCAGCCGTCTGCTCCCCAGGCCCCGCGCCGGTCCACGGCCCGAGCCTCGCCCGCGCCTCCCGCTGGGACTGTGCGCTCCCCGCTCGCTCCGGGCGCGACGCCGCCGAGACCGAGCGGAAGGGGCGACGCCGTCAGGCCAAAGCCCCAGTTCTACCTCGCCGCACACTGCAGTGCCGCCTCCTCACGCCCCAGAGGACCTCGGAACTGCAGCCCTGCCCACCGATCGGAGACTCTGAAAGAGCTCCCCAATTCCTCCAGGTTACACTTAACCAAGTAACTGAGAAAAATAAAAATCCAAAGCAATATTTCACAGTCATTGTTCCCACACTTCACAGATGACCCTGCGCCAGGTCGCACTGTTCAGACAATCCGTTATAAATCGACCTCCAGTCGGAAGTGCTCCTTTGGGGGTGCGATTGGAAATTCTTCTCATTTCCCCCCGTTTTGGTCCACTTTTTAAAACTGTCTAAAACTAAACTCATTTCTGTCCTGAGAAAGCCACGCCCCGGGCAAATGCTCCTCTAAACCTTGGAGAGGATTCAGCTGCCAGCCAGAAACTGACCTGGGACGATATTCACCGATGCGGCCACCGCCGCCGCGACGACCGGGGACCGACACGGGCGCTGCGCGGCCCCGGCCCCTGCCC